TCGTTTCATTTTAATACAAGTATTTTTTAAATATTATCTGCCGAATACATTATAAACGTTTTAAAAATATTTAAAATCAAAATCACACGTTTTGCTCCCATAATGAAATAGTGGAACGAAAATATTAGAAAAATTTCTCGTGTTTTTTGATACCAAATGAAGTGTCCGATAATAGTCGTGAAGTAAAAAATGTATTTTTATTATGTTAATAAGTTAAAAAATATAATTTCTCTATATGTTTATAAATTATTGAAACTAAATATGTCATTGAGATTTTTAAGAAATATTTCAAATATCTTCGAATTAAATCTACGAGAAATCTTTAAAAATCTGTCGCTTGAGATATTTAGCAAAGATTACAAAGAAATATTTAGAAATTATTCTACGCTACTAGGAATTCGATTCGAGTTTGTTTAAGTGAAATAACTGTCCCTTGAATTAAGAAAATGTCTCTTTGGTACTATTCAAAGGAACGGCCCTCTGGTTCGGTGACATTTCTTTCTCGGTGTATATATTTATTACAGCTAAAAAATTAATGGGAAAGTGGGAAGATTAATACACTTGTGTACTGAATCTGTGACAGGTTTTATAAATGCTTTGCGAATACGTTAGAAAATTAGTATACCATGTCTTAGAGTCCTTGGTGTTGGTTTTGTAAAAAGTAGGAGGTCAAGATGAAGTCCAAATCCCGATCGGAATCGCAAGACCAAGACTCGAGTGTGCAAGACCAAGACCATGGTAGTGTTGCTCTTGATCTTGTATTTTCTCATCCATAGTTATTTCCTGATTACCGAAAGTTAAACGTTTGGCTCGGTTAGTACTAGGTTACGTAACCACCTGGGACCACCGCGTACATTGATAACAACACCTACAGATACAATTACAACAGCAACAGAGATTCTTAAATGCGCTAAGATGTCCAGAAAGATATTGCACGCCACAATTAGACACCTGATGGCCTTGATTCCCACACCTTATCCTTCTCAGGATTCAAATGGATTTGATCGGATTCATCTCATCAATCAAGATGAATCGTCGAAGACAACCCCTCAGAAGAATCCTCAACAGCGACAACTCTAAAACCCTCAATCTAACATCATCGCCGGCCCCAATCGATCCTACATGGAGAAAAAAAAAATTGTTAAACTTACAGAAAAATCTGTAAAAAATAAACGATTTTATCTGTTGTAATAGGGACAGCAGATTATTTCTGTTAGCGTTACAGTCAAGCTTCTGTTACACAATTCCGTAAAGATTACAGATTATTATTTGTCGAGATTACAAGAAAATATTTGTAAGCGTTACGAATAAACTTCCGGAAGTATTGCGGATGAGTAACGAATACAACTTGATACATGTTAAAATAACAGAACAATATCTGTGAGGGTAACAGGCAATTTTTGTAAAAATTACAAATAACATTCTGTAATAGTAAGATATACGTTTGTAAGGTGTCACGGTATTCAAATGTTAATATTAAAACCTCCTGAAATTCTTAAATCGTTCTTTTAATGGGATATTCTCCCATATGTCAGAACAGAAATCTAAAACTCCTTTACAATCAAGAAAGAATCATATTCAATCTTTTCGATGGTTATAAAGGAGTTTTTGATTTCCGTCTTGTCATCCTGGATATCTATAGAATATAAGTATGGCAATAAAATCATTATCAGGAATTTTGAGAAACTCCGATATAAACACTTTAATGTTACAGTTTAAAGGTTGCCTAACATTTGACTTTAAATTTCTTCATTCACGAAATAGTCAACTTTTTTTCAAATTTAGTAAAGAATACTTCCCTTGGATTTTTGACGTATATAGGATCTTGTTAAGATTTGTCAGGATCTTTAGAATTCCCTGAAAAACATGAAGTAATATTCTTGTTGAAGTTTGTACAACGAGATTGATTTACCTGAACGTGAAGTTATATATTATGGACGCAATAATTAATGTGAAAATACTAAAATTGAACAGCAATCGAGAGTTATTGGCATCGAGGCTGATCGAGGCATCGCATCGCATCATTCAACAGAAGAAAGACATTTCCGATGCGCAACTGCTCGCACGCATATTCGACTGTTTTATGAACATGTTTACGTATGGTACTTTCTCGGAAGAAATTTGTAGATTTAACAGATTCAATCTGTGAAATCTTCAGATTTTATCCACAACGCTTCCCAATATGTTTAACCTTTCCGAAAACGATAACCTGAATAGAGTGAATCTGTAATATCAACAGACATTTTTTATTGCTCCTACAATTTTATAATCCTTCAGATATGCCAGTTTTATCCTTGTCAATATTAACAGCCATTTCCAGCTGCGTTTACAGATGGCTCTTACAGAAATGGTTCTGCTACCTGTACATATGAGAAAGTTAAGTTAGCTGAATTAATTGTTTAATGGGACAGCTCTTAACCATATCAAGAACAGATGTTTCCAACAGATAGGCATCCGTAACTTTTAAGCTCTTATATTTCCCCGTGTGGCGACCCTAACTCGGCATTGCGCCCGTTCCCAGCCGCCAGGAATAAATCCTTCATCGACATCGGAGTGCATTACTTTCGCCCTAAGAAGTCGATCCTTTCCCCCTCTCATCGGACCAAACTCTCCGCAATCCGCGCCCATTTCCCTGTTCGAGAGTCGAGGTCCCCACTGGAACTCGCCAGCCGGAAATCCCGATTTCTTGCCTTCGCCCTTTGGCGGATTTCCAGGGTGCAAACGCAGGATGGCGCGCCGAGGTCGAGACCCGGGGGGGGGGTAGGAGGCAAGAGACAGGGACGAAAGAGCGAGCGAGGGAGAAAAGGCGGAGAAAGAAGCGAGAGGGGAAGAGCAGTGGCGGTGACACCGGCTGGGGGGAGGGGGGGAGCAGAGACAGGGAGGCAGAAAGAGGCAGAGGGTGAGTCCGACAAAAGTGCTCTTTAAAATTGGAGCAGAGCCTGGATGTGGTTTTACTCTCTCCCTCCCTCCCCCTTCGCTCCCTCCCCTTTCCCCCCGCCGACCTTCCTGGTGGTTCCTTCTTCCTTCCTCCCCCTCCCGACCGCCCTTCTACGCCCCTCTCCTCGATGAATCCGCGAGGCGTCTCATCACGCAACATTACCCCGCGACTCCGACTCCTGGGGGGACTCCACCCCCTGCGACCCACGTCCCTCTCAACCCCTTCGCATCTCCCGACCACGCAACATTAAGCCCACTCCTCCGTATTTTTCCCGGATTCTATGGAGTCTCGCGATCTCGCTTCCACGGCGAGCATTCCAAGCCTCTTCAGCCACCGCCACCCCCGCGACCGCCACCCTCGGCGCCGGTACCGGAGGGAGGATGCTGGGCTGCCGGATGCTGGGATCCCGGCGCGGCGCGGCGGGGCGCTGGGGGTTCGCCGCTGCCGCCGACGCTGGAGGCTGGGCGCAGCCGGGGAGGGCGAAGGAGGAGGTCTCGTCTCCGTGTCTCTATTGATCCTCCGAGGAGGAGACGCGCGCACCGCGTCTTCCGACCCCACCTGCGACCCCGACCTCATCCTCGGTATACCTCGGTGCCGGGATGAAAGACGCGAGCTGTATGCCCGGAAATATGGGGATGCATAAATTTCGCGGTGGACGCGCCGGGCTTTGCCGACCTGACGTGGAAATGTGACGTAGAGATTTCTTTAGCGAGATGAGACCACTTGGGGGGGGGGATACTGTTGAACGTGTTTATATGATCTGTAAACCTGTAGTTGTATTGATGCGTTTAATATGAATTTTTTGATAGATTTGAAATTCTATTATACTGCGGTGATGGCTCGTGAAATTGTCTTGTAGATTTGTAATGTTGGTTTATAAGATGTGGATGTATAGGATACTATCGAAGTAATTGTACTTTGCTGTATACGAACGAACCGTTCCGCGGTTATCGAGATGAATTTTGGATCTTGCTGCCGCGCTGAGAAACAAAGATTCATTGAACCTCAGGGATATTTCTTTGAACGGTCCCAAGGACATAATTTGTTAATTCAGAGAATTTACTCAACCGTTTGACTTAATCTCTTAACTAAAACTCTAATAAATTGTCCCAATTCCGAATAAATGTTGCATCCCGTTCATTCGAGTCTATCTATTTATAATCAAATAATGATTCTTTACGCTAAAGAAATATTTCTTTGGCTCAATGACATTTATATTTTTCTCAGGGCAGTTTATGTGAAATTTTCTTGGATGTTTTCGCGTTTATGTGGGCAAGGCATTTTTTATCGTTTCAAAGGTATCGAGGTGTGAGGAGATTATTGAGTATCGATTTTCAGCGTCTTCCGGCCATTGTCAACATCTTTACGTCGGGTTCAGATTGGAGATAGTCCTTGCGGGCGCGTGGCCATTAAGACGTATCGCAGAATGTCATTTCTATTGACATGACATTTAATGGTCGCGACACTCGGGAGCCTGCACGCCCTGGAATCGATCTAGGGAGAGCGACCTGCAGTCGTATATCAACCGGATATCAGTTGGACAGTTTTGATGAATTAGCCTCGTTAGCTTTACGAGACCGATTGTTAGTTCTCCGGCTCGCGTCGCTTTCCTGCTTCTTTATCATCCTCGTCTCTCGTATTCTGCGTTTTTTACCCTTTCCGGTCCCCTCTCCCTTGCTCGAGTATGTCCTGATCTGAAATCACTGTGGATATATACGTCGCACCTCCACTTTGAATATTTCCCTCGTAATCATTCTTCTCCCACCTCTGATACCGCGCCATGTCTTCAAATCTGTAACAACATTTGCATTTACCGGAAAAAGGCCCGACCAGATTATGAATAAAAATCGAATATACATTGCGTGCACTCGCCAACGCACTCGCGGAAAAGAAATTCATAGTCGTGACGAAACAATTTGCTGCAAAAAAATGGGAACACTTGAAAATGGGCCGGGAACATTTTTGTTATATTGACAACGAAATACGATTACTTGCCTGGGGCAGGGCAAACTCTATTCATAGTTTCGGTATTCTTTTCTGGCAACAACAAATTGTCCAGCACTCGTTCGTTTAAGTAGTGGGAATACTTTTTTGGCCGTTGCAACGCATTTTTTCTAATCAGAGCGATTATTCCTGCGGTAAGAGCGAAAGCTTTATCAGCAATGCTGTCCTTTGCTAAAAGTGGAAATGTCTTTTTTTTCCGTGCAGTGTATGACGTATTGCGTACCTTAATTAAAGAAATTCCGTCCAGCATAGCCGTCCAATGTGGCTTTAATCGATGGTTCAAAGTCGTACGCTTATCAAACGTCGACTGTGACTTCCGCGCCTCGCAAGCCCTGTGAACATGGCGGTAATTTTATTCGTCGCTAATTTCACTGTCGTTATATGTTAATAACGCAGACTCATCTAGGTAATCTATTAAACGAGTAATCCACGTTTTACAATAATACGAACTTATACGTGGGGTTACTCAGGCCCTTTTCGTTTTTTTCCCGTTTTTGGAATTAAAATACTGATAAGGCGCGCATCTTCCCCGAAACCTCTAACCTCTAACCTGAAAACTTCTGATTTTATCTCAAGTTACAAAGTAGACGCACTGAGAAAAAAGTGTCCACTGAACCAAATATTTTCTTACTTCAATGAATAATAATTTTACTCAAGTAAACTCGAATAATTCAAAAATTCGATGCAACATTTATTCGGAATTCTGACAATTTATTCGAGTCAAATAATTATTCATAGAATTAACAAAATATTTCTTCGGTACTATTCAAAGACATATATCCTTGCTTCAATGATTTTTTTTCCCATTGCAGACAAATAAACATACGATTAGAAATTATTGGTACCCCTAGATTATAAAAATACTGTTTTAAAGCATAGGACCTGGTCAATGTATTGTTTCATTCAAGTAATTTACGATAAAAAATATTTCCAGTCCAATCTGACGCGTCACACTAAACTTCACAGATAATGATTACCGGTAAGGGTTTCGCATCTATACCGCACAATATACGTTTATATGAATTTGGCACGAAACTTTATCCTTATATACGCATTTATATATACTTGGCACAAAACTCTATCCTTACATAAGCATTTATATGCATTTAGCATGAAACTTTATCCTTATATACGGATTTATAGGTTTTGGTATAAAACTCTATCCTTATATACGCATTTATATGTGCTTGGCACAAAACTCTACCCTTATATAAGCATTTATATGTATTTAGCATGAAAATGTCTCCTCATATACGCATTCATATGTACTTGGCACCGAACTGTATCAAATTTCTCGAAAAATATCGTCCATCGTGACTCGAGTCGTACTCGGACGCGACCAACGGAAAGTCGGGCGCTGCTATTGGCGCAGCTATCAGGCGCTATCTCTTCGAATGGTCCCTCCCTCTCGGCGTATCTCTCCCTCCCCTGGCTCTTCCTCTCGCTGCACATCACTGTCACCCAGGGACGAGTGCCCATTGGTCCGAGGGTCTTCTACCGTGCCCCGCGCCTCTCGCGGCCGGTACCCGTCCTCTTCTCTGGTCCAATTCGTGTCTCCCTCGAGCGCCGCTCATCGAGCCATGAACTCGAGTGGCATCCACGACTCCCCATTGGCTCGAGGGAAGAGCATCCTCTCCCGGTTGGTCGCCCTGCGAGCATCTCCGCTCATCTTCGCGACTGCGCGACCTGTGGCTGCTCTTGTTTCCAAAATGGCGGACAGATAAACGGGTGGGGCTTCACGACGATCCAGACTCCGACTCGGCTGCGCTATTGAAACCCGCCTAAAAATTTAAGGTGAAGTGAAACCCCCCCCCCCCCCCCTTAAATCAGTCGATTCGAATACAACACTTATTTTAAGGGTATTGCACCAAACTGTCCGCAACTTTGACACATGACTAGTGATCATCTGAGAATTGTTCTGACACATTCTAAATTTGGATTTTTCCAAACATTTTTTTTAACTCAGCCTAGACCAGAACCAAAATGGCGTCCAGCTCTCATATTTCGATCCATATACAATTATCGAAGGCTTTGATATGAGAAACGAAAGGGTCAGGACAATTTTGCGACAATTTAGAAAACTTTGATAATCGATAAACTCGCACTTGAGCGGGATAAAGGCGAAAAAAGTGTCTTATGCGCTTCTATGCTAAAACGATGGGAATACGAGGTCGCGGAGTGAAAATTTAATTAACCTGGAAATCACAGATGGCGCGAGGGGTCCCTCTGCAGTCAATTAGGGCCCCAGAAAGCATGAATCTAGAGGATTTCTGGAGTTTTACTTCGATTTCTTTATAATTATTGTACGAAAACGACAGGTGGAGTATGCCATTTAGGACAATACCCAATATAATTCGACCCAGCTGTCAATATAAAAACGAACGTCGGCAACGTAGGTATTTAGAAAAATCTTTATCGACGTTGATCGAGTTCCTCGACGTGTTTCACTTCACCTTAATTGTGCGGTAAAAACAAGTTGTAACTGATTAACCACCTGAAAAGGCGCCCCACGTTACCGACATTTGTGTTTATACAATTAACTCGGTAGAGTTTCGCGCCAAATACATATATAAGCGCTTGAAGTGTTATAAAACTTTTCTCTAAACTCGGCGCGCCAAATAATTTGAAACTTTACACCTAGTTTGAAAAAGAGTTTTGGTCTTAGCATGGGAAGTCCTTCAAATAAGTGTCTTATTTGAATCGATTGGCTTTACTTCACTTTAGTGTTATTATAACAATTTAATTACATACATGCGAGGGTGATTGAAGTATCGAACTAGTGATATATGTAGAATGCAGCTGATTTCACATCGACGGTTCCAATCCTATCGTTACAGGAATAAAGGTACGGAAGGTGTAAGGTGGAGGTGGCGAACGGTAACAGCCGGTAGTCGTTCACCGTGCGATAAGTACAGTATCAGCATTTATCAGTGGCTCACTCGGATGGAATACTTATACCTGGTTAAAGATGTCAGGTGTGTATGCAAAAGATAACGGGGCAAGATAACCGCCGAGTTTACACCGGGTCACGCCCTGAACTTCAGGTTCTCTGAAATCGTTATACAGTAAATTCCATTATGTAATTGAAAATGATAATTATACTCACGCCACGTTTTCACGAGATTCTGCAACTCATATCAAACAAGGAATTAGTACGCAGCTAGTTACTTCCTACCATGATATCAAGGCCATTTTATTCCAATACAAAAATTATTACATCAAACTGTAGCGTTGAAGTTCCCAAACGCTCCCCAGGGACCATTTATTTCGTAGTTAAGAAAAAAATTAAAAGAACTTAACTCAAATAAATTCGAGTAAATTCGACGCAATATTTCTTTGAAATTATTGGAATTTATTCGAATAGAATCAAATAATTATTCTTTGAATTATCAAAATATTTCTTCGGTCCAATGAATTTTTTTCTGAGTGTACATATCAATTATCTCCCCAGCCGCTACGATTTTCCCCTAGTTTCCAATTTCTCACTTCAAGTAATTCCCTAAAAATATCTTCACAAGCGAGGCAAAAATGTCTCAGTTCACAGAAGGGGACAATGAATTTCGGCGCAGCGCGGAGTCGCCTCACAGCAGCCACATCCTCGGCGTCGGCAGCCGCTGTCTCCCAGAATAACGGTAACTGTTAGTCATACATCCTGTCATACGCTCAGCTATAACCGGCCCTGGTAATGGCCCCGCGCCATTACGCGGAGACACGGCGGGGAGAGAGAAAGAGAGAGAAAGAGCTTGCCAAGAGCGACCGCTCGACTCGGCGGTCATGGATCTATTCATACACCGGGTCCCGCGCGGCGGCTTATGCATCCTCGATCCGCGGAGGACAGACTTGGCAACAGTGGCCACTTCTCGGTTGGTTGGAGGGAGAGGGGGGGGGTGCGAGTGACATCCATCGCGTCGAGAGTGAGAGCGAGAGAGACGGCATGACAATCGTGGGCGGCGGGTAGATGCGGGTTGATGCAGGCGCGGGGAGGGAAGGGACCGCGAGGAGGTGGCCAGGGGAGGTTGGACCCTGCGCCGGGAGAGGGGAGGTGGTTGCCATGGCTACCAGAAACCGCAGCCGCCGCCGCCCCCCACCACCGCTACCGCCGAGCCGCTACCGCCAACGACAATGCGAGGTGTCACTGACTCCTGGGTAACGCAAAGCGACGCTCCGCGTGACACTCGCGCGTATGCGTGCACGCGAGGACCGCGCACCCGTGTGTGCGTGCGCACGTAAGGGCCTCTCCGTAAGGCGCGCTCGTTACACGCCCATCCCAGCGCTCGACTACAGCGAATTCAAAGTCCACGTCGCCCCGGGAACTCTGCGCCGTGGCGTTATCATCGACTTCCTGTCGGCTCTGTTGCGGAATAGGGCGTTGTACTCGTTGCATATGATGCGAATATGCGAAGTAACTGGGAGCGAAGGTTCAACGGGCTGTCAGCGGGGCGGAAGGGTGAAGGTGGTCAATTATTGTATTAAATAATGGAATTATTAATAAATTGGAGAGACTCTCGGGAGGGACGTTGTTTTTTACCCTTTCCTTAACCTCTTATCTAATGTTTACCCCGGTGATCTGGATTATTTGGGGAGGTTTTATCATCACCGAAGTTCAGTTTTCTCATTTATGCAGCTTATTTCCAGTGCTCTGGCACACCGGATGTAAAAGTTTTCCAAATGAGAGGTTATCCTTAAGTACAGAATTCTTCTTAAATATGAAGTGTTTTACCTTGAAATTTAGCTCTACAGTTATTTATTTTCTTAACTGAATATCTTCCGTTAAGAAAAACTGAACAATTTCTTAAAAGGTCAGAAGACCTTCCCGATATCTACTTTTCCAAATCCATCGCCATTTTGATTCTGGTCCAGTCTAAGTCAAAGATGTTTTTTTTGCAAAAATCCAAAGTTAGAAAGTGTCGGAACAATTCTTAAGTGTTCGCCAATCATGTGTCGAAGTTTCAGGCAATTTGGTCCCACACGCTTTAAAAAAAAGTATTTTACTCGAATCGGCGGATCTGAGGGGGGTTTCACTGCACGTTAGAGGACTAGATGAATTACAAGACTTCATCCTGAGTCCTCGCGCTCAATCCCCCTCAGCGAACCCGAGAGAGAGTGACTGAGAGAAAGGGCGAGCCGCGCCGTTCCGCTCGGCCGCGGCTTCGAAGGCGTTTTACGATTCGCGGAGGGACCATCGTGGACTCCCCGACGTCCCAGGGACAGGTCGAGGGACCGCGATCGTGACGCAAAAAGACGAACTTGAGCGACTCACCCGCCGGAAAGAAAAGATCCAACCGCCTCTCGCTGTTCCACTCCCCCGCCCCTCCCCCCACTCCCCCCGCTGTACCTCGCGCGGTGCGCGACGGGAATTAAATTAAGGCTTCCGAAAATAACTCGGCGACATTAGATTGCTCCTCGTGGGGTCGCGGACGACGCGCCATCTTGCGGACGGCGGACGAAGCGGATTATAATCGCATTCTTTGCCCTGCGTGAGCTTTTACTTTATAATCTTATCAATCGTTAATGAATATTAAGGTGTGCCATGAGATCTGTGGATCTATAGTCGATGAGTGGAGGGTAAATGGTAGAAATGTAATCTTGAGGGCAAATTATGTGATCATTAATTTATGAAAGGCAATTAGTGTTTAAGAATTCGAACGGAGTAATTGTAGGTTGGAGGTCAAGGTAAGTGTACCAGTGGTCGAACATGTCCCAGTTGCAGAACTCCACTTTAAATATTTCCTTTTATTAAACATTCCATGAATAATGGCTGTTCGAACACTGGTACATTCGACTTTTCCTTCGTCTTCGCAGCATATATAATAAATTACTCAATATTTACATATATATAGCATGTGTTTTGGAGACTAGAAATTCTGTTTTTTACGTTGATTCAAGTCATCACTACCTCATATCGGTCTTTATGTGGTTAATCTTGATCTGAATCTGAACGGTGTCTTAAGCATTCGGCTACTGGTACAGTTACCTTGCTGGGAATAAATCGCGGATGGGAATGCATTGGTTTTGGATGCGATAGGAGGTGAGCCCTTCATGAAAGTCGAAAATGAAATGAAGAAGTAGATTCAACGCGAAATGAAGGAAGTGCAATTTCTGGAAGAATTGTTTGCGCTGAATTTAGTGGATAAATTGCGTGGTTGTGATTTTTCTATATTATTTTTAAAATTTTAACGTTTTTAGTTCTTTTTCTATTTATTTTAACTTTTTACTTTTTTAATTTTTATTTAAAAAAATTTTATTCGGGATTAATTTTAAATAATATGGAATAAGTATAAGTCAAAGGCTGTATTTTTATAAATACTTCGTGGTGGGGGTTAGATCGTTTCATCGGCGGTAGGAGGTGGCCCCTCGTAAAAGACGAGAAAAGCGATCGACAAGATGGCCGCCGATTCCTTCCTACCTTAGGCGTTCGCGAGGAGGGAGACTCAGGATCGGAGATAAAACCAAGGGGCACGTGGGGAGGGTCCGTGGGAGAGGGAGTGGGAGGACAGGTGGTCCTTTCGGCTTCCATCTCGCTTCGCTACCTTCGGACGTGGAGCTGCACTTCGCAGAAGTAGGGATACCTCGGCCGCCATCTTTGGTTCTGCCGAAACAAAGACTCGCAAGTCTCGGAGTCGGGCCATTTGCGCGATTTCGTTCTCGAAGGGCTGACTCGTCTTTTTGGTTGAATTGGTCGCGTCTATCGACACGGGATGTACTATTCGCTTCGTGGTTTCCATGAGAACCGTAAAAACATAATACGTTTGAATATAATAAGGGGAAGCACAAGAAATACATAAATTCGTAAAGTTGGAAATTCATAAAATGATAATTTCTTGTATACGAGATAAGAATTTAGTCATGCATAAATTCAAAATTGTTCCGCAAAAATTCATTTCTTGGGAAGTGCCGGAAAAGTGACATTATATTCTGATGATATAGGTAAGGCAAGGAGAGCATAAAGAATACATATATTCGAAAAGATAAAAATCCGGATAACGATAATTACAGAATAAGAATTTTATCGCGCAAAAATCGAAAATTTCCCCGTGAAAATTCATCTCCTCGAGAACTGTCGGAAGAGTGGCACTATCGTGGCACCCAGACAATATAGGTAAGGTAAGAATGAGCACAAAAAACGCATAAATTCGAAAAGGATAAAAATCCGTAAAATGATAATTACAGGATATGAATTTTATCACGCATAAATCCAAAATTTCCCCGTGAAAATTCATCTCCTCGAGAACTGTCGGAAGAGTGGCACTATCGTGGCACCCAGGTGGTATAGGTAAGGTAAGAATAAACACAAAAAAAAGCACAAATTCGAAAAGGATAACAATCCGTAAAATGATAATTACACGATATGAATTTTATCACGCATAAATCCAAAATTTCTCCGCGAAAATTCATCTCTTCGAGAAGTGCCGGAAAAGTGGCACTTTATCTAGATGATAAGCCAAGCCTGAAGGGAGCCATTCGGCGATACTTCTATGGAGGCAACGGATCGGTGAAGAGGTTAGGTTTGCAAGAGGCGATGCTCTTACCACGCCGCGTCTCCACCACTTATCGCTCGTAGTCCGATTCGCTTCGCGGTCTCCATGGAAACCCTCGGAAAAAACCTATCGATTCTCCCTTTCGTCTCCTCTGAAAGAACTCTTTCAAGAATCCCCGACTCTTCGCGTCCCCCCGCGCCCCTGCTCCTCCCTCGCCGCTTCCGATTCCCGATCCTCCCCCGAGACCGAGTCCAGACCATTTCTGGGAGAAAATTTTCACACGCCCAGACCGTTAAAGAGGTTTATTTCGCTAATAAGACCGGACCGCGCCGCTTATTGAAACAATAAAGAATCAGGCCGCGCGCCCTCAAGATGACGGCCGCTTGGTCACGCGGGACTCTACGTGCGGGGGTTGCAGAGCAACCCCCTGATCAACTCCTGATGGATTTATTACCCCCGGTATTGCGGTATTTCGGCACTTATTAGCTCGACTTGCCCCGAGATCGAATCGGGGCCGAGATCATGCGAGATCTCTGGGATATGCATCATTTCGTGCCCCTCGTTCG